CAAAAGGGTTACAGACTATATGACATTGAGTCCGGGAAGTTTTTTGTCGACAAAGATGTTGTATTCAAAGAACATATTTTCCCTTTTAAATTCTCCATATCTCATTTCCTTTATTCAAAAGCATCTTTTTCTCCCTCTTTTTATCATGAACCTCCTCTTAATCCCATACCTGCACCTCACCTTGATTTAGCTTCTCCAATTGAGTCTACACCTGTCTCCCCTGCTCCATAATTACATGTTATTTCATCCGAATCTATGCCAACCTCTCCTGCCCCTTCTCCTACCTCTGTTACTCCTGTCACCATCACTCCTCATCAACCTAGAAGGTCAGGAAGGGTCACCAGACCTTCTATATGGTTAACTGATTATGTACATCCTCCCTTACCCACTACTTCTTCTTCCTCTTCCTATCCCATTTAACAATTTGTTTCCTATTCCCATCTACCTTCACATTTTAAGTCATTGCTTGCTTTTTTTTTTTCTTCTGATATTGAACCCTCATCTTTCTCTCAAGCTAGTAAAGATGCTAGGTGGGTTAAAGCCATGCAATTGGAAATTGAGGCTCTAGAGCAAAACCACACATGGGAAGTAGTGGATCTGCCTTCTGGTAAGGTCCCCATTGAGTGCAAATGGGTGTACAAGATTAAATACAATGCAAATGATTCAGTAGAAAAGTTCAAAGCCAGACTAGTTGCCAAGAGCTACACACAACAAGAAGGTCTGGATTTTCATGATACCTTCACCCCTGTGGCCGAGCTAACTACTGTCAGGACTGTAGTTGCTAATGCAGCCCTTAAGGGCTGGCATGTCTTTCAAATGGATGTTCATAATGCCTTCCTCAGTGGTGATCTTGGGGAAGAGGTCTACATGTCCCTGCCACAAGGCTTTAGTATCTAGGGAGAGCATAAAGTATGTAGGTTACTGAAATCCTTATATGGTTTAAAATAGGCATCTAGGCAATGGAATTTGAAACTAACTCAAGCTCTCTTAGAATCTATTTTTGCTCAAAGCAAACATGATTATTCACGGTTTACCAAGACTGACAAATACAAGTTTGTGCGTGTGCTAGTAGATGTAGATGATTTACTTGTAACAGGGAATGATCTAGAGGAGATTCAGAATGCAAAGAATGCATTACACCAGAAGTTCAAGTTAAAAGACCTAGGAGAGTTGAAATACTTCATAGGGATAGAAATTACAAGGTCTAAAGAGGGAATACTTATGTCACAAAGGAAATATGCACTAGAAATGATCTCGGATGTGGGACTAGCAGGCTCAAATCCTAAAGATACACCTACGGAGCAGAATATGAAGCTTACAAGTACATAATTTGATAAAAGTATAAATATTGACACCTCTGATGAAATACTGGAAGACATGAGGAGTTTTCCAAGGTTAATTAAAAAACTTTTATACCTCACAATAAGCAGACCAGGCATCTCCTATGCAGTTCAATGCCTAAGTCAGTTCATGTATGCACCCAAGAGATCTTATTATGAGGCAGCTCTACATATAGTCAGTTACATAAAAAGACAACCAGGTCTAGGAATCCTCATGTCAAGCAAAGGGACACAACAGATTGAAACTTACTGTGGCTCTGATTGGGCATCTTGTCCTATGTAAAGAAAATCTGTGACTGGCTACTGTATTAAGCTAGGCGATTCATTGATCTCTTGGAAAGCTAAGAAACAGAGTACTATATCTATACGTTCTGCTGAAGTAGAATGTAGAATCATGGCACACACAGTGGCAGAGCTGGTTTGGCTCAATGGGTTGATGAAAGATTTAAGAATGGATGTGAAGTTGCCAATGAAGTTGTTCTGCATAACAAAGTTGCATTACAAATTGCAGCAAATCCTATGTATCATGAGAGAACAAAACACATCGAAATAGACTGTCACTTCATAAGAGAGAAGATACAAGAGGGGCTGATTTAAACTTCTCACATATCAAGTCAACAAAAAACAAGCAGACATCTTGACAAAGCCTCTTGGGCATCGGTAGCATGCCTTTCTGTTGTCCAAGTTGGGAATAAAAAATATTTTTCATTCTGAACTTGAGGGGGAGTGTAAAGATATAAAGTGTAGTTGAGGTTACTTGTACATTGTGCTATTTAATATGCATTATTCTAGATGTATCCATTAGTTGGTTAGTTAGGACATATTATTATTTTTGTGTATATTAGACATATTTTTATACAGTATAAACAAGAAGAAAGAAATACAATTTCTGATTCCCTCTCTACGATTCTCCGTCTCACTCTCTGCTTTTCCTCTCTTCTTCTCACTAGATCTTGCCTCCATATCCCTGACATATCTAGCTTGGTTTTGACAACTCTACGTTGACTAGTCCCTTTTCCCCATTCTTTTGTTTAGCTTCTCGCTTCCTCTTCCCATTTCTTTTCTTTTTTCCTTACGTCTTCAAGTTTATTCAAATGCCATTGTTAATGGAATACCCCAAAAATCGGTGTCACAAGCGTATGGGCATCTACTAAGGAGTACAATAATAATACAACATATGTTTGGAATTTAAATAAGACCCGATAAAGCAAATAGTACGATGGAGACTCTGCGGGCTGCGATATGTTGCCTGGAATGCAGCTCATCATAAAGTCTCCTCAGCAGCTGCACTTACACACCAAGATGACCACCAAATGAACTTGTAAGATTCTGTATATTTAGTGCAGTGTGCAGAATGAGTACGTAAATCAACGCGTACCCAGTAAGTATCTAGCCTAACCCTAAAGAAGTAGTGATGAGGGGTCGATATCGACACTTACTAGAGGTCCAATAAAGCAGTACGATAAATCATAAACAGATATGAAGCACAATAGTAGCTGTGAGGTAAAAACTGTAACTAACATAATCTTTCAAAATTTCTTATAACAATATAAAATTTTCAATCTCGTATCCTATCTCAACATATCGTAAAATATCAAATGCCAATCTCAAATGGATAACGAATACCATATAAAACACCATGCATCAATGGAAGGATAATCTCGTGAATATTCAGATTGCTAGCGATAACGCACGATTATGCCGAGGTCGACGACCCGATCCAGAGTGGTGTGTACACTGCCGAGGGTCAACCGACACGAACCAGAGATGCATCTCAATATAATGCCGAGGCGTTCTGTCTGCTCCACAAGAAAGAAAGGAACTTATCGAATTACGAGGCACGTGCTTACAACACAGATACAAGTGCATAATAGGGTAGTTATTTTTAAGTAATTTATCTTTTTAGTTTAGCACCTCCCACTTTTATAAACAACTAAGCAAAATTATATATTTATGTATCAATTGCAGCTCATAGACACATGATGCTTTCTGAAAAGACCAATATTCATATATAATCGAAAAGTGATTCTGTGTTATGCTCTATAATTGGGAGATTAGACGCATAATCTGTTGTCTTTTACTAATTTAGGGTGCTAATTTCACATGCATCACTAACTTTTGACAATCAACGAAGGAATAACTTTCAAAAGTAGGTACTATAAGTGACTACAGGACAACTTCAAAAAAGGGAAACAAAGGGCATACTGAATACATCCTGTCAAATTTGGTGTAAGACGCATTTAAATGATTATATTAGGATTAGCAATTAAATTTGGTATGAGTAGCAATTAAACAAAGGGCAAACTTGATGTCTTCAATTACTCCCTTCCTTTCATTTATGCGACTCTAAACGTAGAATTTAAGAAAGAAAAAGATAGATTTTAGAAATTTATCATTTTAAACATAGCATATGTGTGGTTATAAAAAAAAAATTCAATTACGCGTAAAATTAAAAATTTAAATTAAATTTGTCTAAATTTAAAAAATATAAATTTTTAAAATAGATTAAAAAGAAAATAGGGTCACATAAATTGAAACCGAAGGAATATAGAAAAACTACTCATGAGTTCATTGAGAGGATTATTATCTTATCATGAGTCGATGATTTCAACAAGGGATTATTGTCTTATCATGAGTCGATGATTTCAACAAGGGCCTCCATGTTGGTAGCCTCGCTCAAGAAATTTTTGAGAACATTGAATGCCTACTTCGTTGACCATTCTGAAAAGTGAAGCGAAGAGTCAAGGGACAACCTCATTAGCGGAAAAATCACCAATTAGTTTGAATTTTCCTGATCTTTGAAGTGCACCATGGTAGTTTGATATCAAAACCAAGTTGTAACTTTCCCAACCTGCGAGCGAAAAAAATGGAAGCGTTAAAATAAAAAACACTATGCTGCCAAAACGAGACAATGCACCGGCAAAAAAAAAATTCATTTCAGAACGAGCAAAGATGTGTAAAGTAGAATGATAGAAATTCATAATTGAGTTCAAAGAATATCTGTATAAATCTATAAATATTCTGGACCTGATTTTTGTATATATTTCATTTATAGAAATCTTCTTCCAATGACACAAACGGATCGTGGTTTCTACTAGCTTGCGGACTGTTATAATTTTTTTTTAATCAGGACGCGTATAGCAGTAAAAATTAGAATGACATAAATTCAAAATTACGTTCAAAAGGATATGTGTATAAGTCTACAAAGAATATGGTCCTGATATTTGTATATATTGTAGTTTTAGATTTAAAATGCAAACATGGTCCAATATTCTTCAAGTTTAGATTTAAAAAAATCAAACAATCAAGCTGAACTAATAAATGTTAGGAAGAAGAGAGAGACAATAAAAATAACAACAACCCAGTATAATCCTATTAGTGGAGTTTGGGGAGTATAATTTGTATAATCCTATTAGTGGGGTTTGGGGAGTATAATTTGTACACAGATCTTGCCCCTACCATGGGGTAAAGAGGTTGTTTTTGATAGACATCTTACTCTTGGGTGACTCGAATTCACAACCTCTTGGTTAAGCGGACGGCTCACCACTAGACCAAGAGAGAGAGAGTATTAAAATTAATCGGTTATTGAAACTGTGTTAGACCAAAGGAAAAAAAACGCGTACGCTATTTTATTTTAATAAATAAGTGCTGCTACGTTGGAAGGAACCCTATTTTAATAGGATTACAAAAAATCTGCATAGTTGTCTCCGATATTCCCTATTCTTTCACGGCTTCTCATTAGGAAGACAAATCATGCCTCGCCGGAGCTCTGTTGGTGTGTATCTTCGATCTGTATATAGTGCTTATGTCTTTAAATTTGAGATTTTATCTACTTTTTAGGTCATACCGATATGTTTGCTTTTCTAGGGTTTTGGTTTTAGTTCCTTCTTTTTGTTTTTTCCCCTAAATTAAATGGTTTTAGTTCCTTGTTTATTTTCTCCCTTCTAAATTAAAGGCAGTGCAATTAGTGTTTAAAAATTTCAATTTTTCTTTTATATTTGATTGTGTGTTTTCCGTGGGGCTGCTTTGGTTAAGGATTGCAATTAGCTCTTTCTTGGTATCACTCTCCACCTGTTACGAGAAAGGGCAGCTGCATCTTGTTTATGAATTGATGCCTAATGGATGCTTAGATAAACATCTTTTCAAAGAGAAGTCATTGTTGGTATGGCAAATCAGGTGGAAATTTGTTCAAGGATTGGCCTCGGGTTTGCTCTATCTACACGAAGAGTGGGAACAATGTGTAGTCCATAGGGACGTAAAAGCAAGTAATGTCATGTTGGATTCAAACTTCAACGCTAAATTAGGCGATTTTGGTTTGGCTAGACTCGTTGATCATGAAAAAGGATCTCGAACAACAATGCTGGCGGGGACTGTGGGGTATATGGCACCTGAATGTGTTATGAATGGAAAAGCTAGTAAGGAATCAGATGTGTACAGTTTTGGAATAGTAGCATTGGAAATTGGAAATAGCAAGTGGAAGAAGATCAATAGATATTAAAGCAGCAGAAGATCAAGTGAGATTGGTAGAATGGGTTTGGAACCTCTATGGAATTGGAAAACTAATTGAAGCAACTGATCCAAGATTGAATAAGATATTTAATGAGAAAGAAATGGAACGTTTAATGGTTGTCGGTCTCTGGTGTGCTCATCCGGACAACAAACTCAGGCCATCGATTAGGCAAGCAATTCGTGTTCTTAATTCTGAAGTTCAGTTACCTATTCTTCCCTACAAGAATGCCTGTTGCGACGTATTCTCCCCCTCCATTGAATATGTTTTAGCCTCCATTTTCACATACTTATGAAACTAAAACAGTGGGGAGTGAGCAGGAACAGACTATGACTTACACTTATAACTGTACTAAATCCTCAAGTGTTTATACATCATCAGCTGCGTCGTCAACAAAATCACTTTTGTAACCATGGCGACTGCTTTTTTATATTGAATTCGTTCAAGAGTTCATTTCTGTCTGTTTCACTTAGGTGAATTTTATATAACTTTCCTCTCTTGCAATTAAGGACTTTGACGACTAACAGAACCGACTGCCTCTCTTGGATGATTGAGTTATAAATTTTGTTAGAAGTTGAATTCAAACAAAGGAGAATTATTTTTCTTTTGAAAGGTTGAAGTTATTGGAGGTCGTTAGTTGAGCTTTTGCTAAGTAAGTTCCTGATAGAAATGTTTATAGGCATATAACATATTTGCTCCATCATTGTAGTCCGGACAGGACAAGCAATTTGCCTGAATAAAATGTAACCTACATATCTATTTGTATCTTGTATCTAACATCAACTTCTAGCAAAAGTGCTATGGTTGAACGTAACACGTGGGTAATTAAATGGTTGAACGTTTTAAACTTTGTGGTAGATTTATGAATATTCACAAGCTAAGGATATTAAAAGTGCACTTTTCAGTTAAATAAATTCTAAACGTGTTTAGCCATAAATAGCGGGGACTAAAATTACAATCCACATATTTTTAACCCTTTCACTTTTAAAATCACGCTGATAAATTTGCTTTTCTAAGTGTTTTGGTTTAGTTTCCTTTTTGTTCCCGGGGAGGCCGTAATCTTTTTCTTTAATGTTGATTGAAGATATGACTTCTTAGAATTGAATTTTCTCTTTAAAAATCTTTGATTATTTGCTCTCACCTCTCGGTGGGGAATGGAGGCAGATATGGGATCTTTTTGGAATAGATGAAACCCTGAGACAGAAAGCTGCTTTGGCTAAGAGTTGCAATTAGCTTTTTCTTGGTATTCATCTGCACCTTTTTCCAGAAGAGGATAAAGGATTACAAAAGTCATGTTAAGATGATATAGTATCGTTGTTTCTAACAGAGTTCTATGAATCTTGATGATAATGCTGTGCGACCTTTCTCACTTCTTTACAGGATGCTTCAACCTGCCTTGCATACGAAACGAATGTCCTGTTAAGAATCATCTCCTTGGCCCCATCTCGGAGGATGAATGCCCAGTGAAGAATAATCTTCTTGATCTCACAGCGGAGGACCTGAGTTTGATTACACGTGATTTTTCTCCAGAGGATCTTATCGGAGACACCCAGTTTGGGAAGCTCTACCGTGGGAAAATGTCCGGTGGTTCCGATCAAGATAAAACTACCAAGGATGTCGCTGTCAAGATTATGGTTGGTGAAATGCGACATTTTGATGTTAGCTATGACAGACTGCCAAGATTAGAGGTTGGTGTTTGTCTCTATGTGTATATGCACGCTCATGCTTTTGCTTCCTTGCCTTAACCGATTGTTTCCTTAGTTTATGCTTACTCTGAAAGATTGCTTGTGCTGGTAGGATGAACTGAAATTTTTGCAAGCTCCAAGGTTTAGGGGCAATCTCAACTTAGTGAAAGTGATTGGATGTTGTCGCGAGGGGAGAACTCTGGGTATCGTTTATGATCTAAATCCACAGGACACCTTGCATAACTTCATTATTCGAGGTGCCTTCTCTCACATTTACTCATCTTTTATGCAGATTCAACCTTATATATTTTCTGCTGTTAAGTACATCTTGTCTAGCTTATATTTGGGTTCAAACCAAGGCCATAGTGAGTCCTTTGAGCAAAGAATCTGTAGGCATTTCTAGTCCTTTGATACAAACAATCCAATAACATTTTGCTTTGCTTGTCCAGATGACTTCAAATGGCTGCAGAGGGTTAAGACTGCCCTTGCATTAGCTTGCTTGCTTAATTATCTGCATGATGGGAATTCGTCATACATGCTTCGCAACTTTGATCTAGCTCACATAGCGGTTTACCAGGTACGATATTGTAACTAAATTTTGTCGTTTACTTGGTGTACTTCGCATCAATATTGGTTGTCAAGATTCTGTTATGCTGTATTCAGTAATTCGTAAGTGACTTGAATATATATTTTGTGTTTCATCTCTCCAGAATTTCACCCCAATTTTGTTTGAGTTTGGTATGTTAGTTGGAGAGGGTTTGGACAACTAAAATCAATGAGGAAGAGTACAGGGTTGGTACGTGTGGCTACATTGATCCAATGGTCGCTGAATGCGGTATGCAACTGAGTCTCTTCTTTTGTTTCCATCAAATATGCACTAGCAAATTAGCGTTATGCTCATTGTCAAATGATGTTGAAGGTAATATTTTCTCTTAGAGGTGTCCCATGACTTTGCTTCTTTTGAAATTTTTGGCACATTTCTCAATAAACCTCTTGGAGCTGTTGTTCTTCTCGGGTTGACTATATTTGGTGTAACAAAGGTTGACATTATGTTTGAAATGAAGAGTGTGGAAGGAAAGAGAATGCAAAAGAGGCAAATGATTTACATCAGTTTTGTGTTTAGAATGAACCATTTTTCACACTCGTTTCTTTTCTTTCTTAACATTATGAACAAATATATTCTTGAGTTTCACATAGAAATATATTAACTGGAACTATCCCTGATGTATGGGTTAGCCGCACTTCACGGGTTCAAAACTTGCCGTAGGGAAAAGCGTGGTATTTAAGTGGAGCCTAGGATAGAGGGGAGAGTCCATTAACCACCGAATTTAGAACGGTGACCTACTGGCTCTGTGGGATTTCTCGGTTTTAAAAATAAAGTATTATTTAATACTATATTATGTTTTCCTATTAGATGTCTGCTATGCAATTTTTTGAAACCGTTTGTATTTCATGTCTTTTCCTTTTAGTGGATTGACTCTATACTAGTAGTCTTTGAAGTGCTGCTAATAGCAAATGCAATGCTTTGTTGAGCAGTGAGAGTCCATTTTGTAATTCCTTTTCTTCTCTGTCTTATTGTGGGCACTGGCCATTTATGTAAAATGTATTGTAGTTAAGTGGTCACTCAAATCTGATGTTTACGCATTTGGGATTGTTCTCCTAAGTCTTATGAGCAAAAGAGTTGTTGATTGGAAAAACGCTAGAAACACACATGTCGGTTTGTGGGCCGCGAGAGAGTACAAGCGCGGGTGTTCACTTGTCCACCAAAGTTTTGAGGCTGATCGTGACTTTGATCCTCGTGACTTTCATCCTCGGATTACAAAAAGAGAGTACAGGCGCGGGTGTTCACTTGTCCACCAAAGTCTTGAGGCTGATCCAGGCTTTGATCCTCGTGATGGATCTAAAATTACAAAACTTGGAATGCAGTGTATAGAATATAAACAAGAGAAAAGGCCAGCAATGAAACAAGTTGTTAAGCGTCTCAAGGCCTTGCGTGTTGTGCAGCAGCATGGTGAAGCTTTCTATGGAAATTAATGTGCATCTTATGTTCGCTGACTTTCAATGGATGTGGGAGATGAGTAAAGATAGTGGGTAGTTTATAACTGGATTCTTTGCCTTTTGAACCTTTAACACAGACACAAGACTCCCTACCGGCATGAAAACTGTTTCCATTTGCTTACAATATGCAGCTGTAGCCTGTAGGGTTATTTCTCTAGTTCTATTAATCAGATGCCTTCAACTAATTTAGGTTGCTAATTTCACATGAATCACTAACACTTATTGACAATCAACAAAAACGATATCATCCAAAAGTAGCTAGGTGCTATTCCGTTTAAGTGACTACAGGACAAATGCAATAAAAGGGAACAAAGGGCAAACTCCATGTATCACTAGTAAATTTACCTGCACTTCAGGCGATCGTAAATGATATTTGTTAGTTTATGAAGAAATCAATTAGCCAATACCCAACTTAAAATACTATCAGAAAGTAAACTATTATAAACAACATATATTTTGGTTAAAAAATGTGTTAATCCATAATATGGATTTCATTAAAGCAAATACTCTATAGAAATGTATAGATATATATTATCAAGAAAGCGTACATAAGTTTTATCCAATTAAGAATCGTTCAGAATATTTAAAAAACTAAAACTAAAATTAAAATTACACCGATTTCATTTTATAACTACTAATCAGACAAATAAAAATTATTTAAATGTGTCATGCTAGAAGATGATAAATTTATATAAACTTACCTTGAAAAAAGCAGTCACTATCTACATCACACCTTTTGACGTGTGATCTTTGTGAATAAGATGCTTTTACCCCCATAAAAAGACTATACGATATTTTTCCCGAGTTTTTAGAAATTGTTATCGCAGAGACTAAACCAAAGCCACGTTTAAATATCATCTTATTATTTTTTTTTTTAAAAAGACGAAAAGTCTCAGAATAAGGAGATCTTATTGCACGCAGGGATCTATGGCAATTCCTAAAAATTATCAATTCCCTCATTATGTATTTCGATAAGACGTAAGAATCTCATTTTCCAGGAATGGACGGGTAAGATTATGGCCAAGTCTTAACAATACATAATAGTATAAAACTTATACCATCAGACCTCTCTATAACAACATCTATACATAATAACCATTCATTATAAAAGCATATATATATATATATATATTCTCCATAACAACACTTCGCTATAACAGTCAAAAAATTTTAGAACAAATGAGATTGTTATAAAAAAGTTTGGCTTGATTAAAATATTAAATTATTTAAGTTTGTTATTTTATTTTTCTCGATTAAAGGATCAAAAGATCTAGGTTCTTATTTCCTTTGACACTAATTTCATTCATATTACTTATTAGGAACACATTTGTTTGAGCTTTGAAATGGAAATTAAAATATATAAAAGGGTTTATACATAGCCAATCGAATTCAATGTTTGCCTTGTTAGCTGGTATGTATTGATTATACATTGATTACAAATATATTACAGTTATACATATATTATGATTAATTCTTCTATTTTTAATTTAAACGAATGGGTAGGCAACTATTTAGATTAATTCTCCCAAGAGTTCAAAAGTTACATCTAAATTTAAACTTCATAAAAATATTAATTGTCTTGGGAATTAACATCTTGCGTAGGACTGTAGGAGTAAGTTTTAGTGCCTTCCCTAGATGGGAGATTAAAGACCTAATTGGATTGGAATTAAATACAATTAACACTTCACGTTTTTGTGTTCTCCCTTCGTCCAAACCATCCAAAACTAAAGTAGATAAATTCTACGACTCTAAACGGAGAGTGTCGTTTTTTTGCAAAAAAAAAGAACAAAAAAAAAAAACAAAAAACGGAGAGCGTGTACAAGATTTACACAACTACTAAACTTGGACTCTACCTGCTATTTCATGCCATATCTGATCTTTTTTTATTTTTCAGTAAATTCTTTCAAAAATTCCTCTTGAATTTTATTACTCCTACGTAATATTTTCCTAAAATAGACAATGAAAGTCATTTCATTTGAAAAAAGATGCTCATTCAGTCATTTATGAGTTGGTCATATTGCTTGCAAAAATTAAAACTAGCAAGAGTGAGTTATGTTACTGTGCCAAATGGACAGAGAAGGAAATGTATTTATGTTTGTTTATTTATCTAATTTTCTTTTTCTTTTTACGTTTGCTGTCGCGTTAAAAACCCGAGTCTCACTCTTTATCCGATGTAATTGTCCAATTAGGATCTGACTCTCATTTTTATCCGGTGTAATTGTCATATTACGACGACATTGGAATTTCATATTCAATTATGCATTTAAAGAGATTTCATTATTAATTGAATTTAACATCCCAATAGTATATACAAATACATAAGTTTCACTTTTGTTATCTGGTGTTTAATCCAAGTAGAATTAGTATGATAATAGAATTTCATATTCAAGAAAAGAAATTCTATTATTAATTGATTTCAAAAGTTCTAATATTAGACAGTATTAAAAAGTAAAAATTTTTTAACACGGGATTAAAAAGTTCTTTGTCACAACACAACATAAAAATCTCATTTAAAAATAATTAGACGAAACAGCTTGCGAACTTGTTGAAACAAAACTCTAAAGGCATATCTTCCTATGAAAGATCAAAAATTTATGTAACAAATTTGAAATAACCAAAGATTCGAACTCAATAGTGATGATTCAGTTGACTTATTCCCTCTCGCTATTGCACGACAAAGTCCTGTAGCAAATAAAGAGTTGACAGAAGCCAAAGTCACTCCCAGCTGCCATTGACTACTGCATTTGAAAGGGATGCCATCACCATTTGAAAGGTTGTTGCTAGGGGTGGCAAGTGGGCCGGGTCCGGTCCTAAGTGGGTTTCGCGGGCCCGGTCCTAAGTGGGCCGGTCCTATACGGTCCGGTCCTAAACGGTCCCGGACTTCGCGGGCTTATTGTTGGAACCGGATCGGGACCGGGACTACGAACTAACGGTCCCGGATTAAGTGGGTCGGTCTCGGGCCAAAACGGGCCAAAATGGGCCCAACAGAAACTTTGTATTTTTAATTTTTTTTTTTATAGAAGTTAGAGGAAAAAAATAGTAATAAAGATATATAAGCTATATTCGATTTATATATATATATATATATACTATATTATATATACATAGTTTACATCTTAAAATATACCATATATACACCTTAAGATATACTATATATATATATAGTATAGTATAGTAGATCTTAAGATATATATACATCTT